GTTTTTGATGAGGGAACACTAAAAGACGCTACTAATGTTGAAAAGTTGGTTTCTATGGCTCATTTAAACATTTTACCAAAACTGAAACTTATTCAGCAAAGAAGAAATAAATCCATATGCCACTGTGTATTGACTTTTGAAGGCGTAAGTAATAGTTTGGTCATTCGGACGAGTATAAAAGGCTCTGTCCTTGACATCATTTCCTTCAAACATTGATCTTTATGCAAAGAAGATCAGCTTCCAGAAGCACGATGAGGAAAATAAGCTGCATGACCTACTTCAGTTCAGGTAAAGCTATATGCTGCTGAAATAAGAGATGTACAGTACAGGATCTTCCTGTATGTGCTGTATAGATTCATCCTCAGATAAGTGACAGTGAAACTGATCAATGCAGGTCAGTTATAAGCGACCAAATAGACCTCTTCTCTTTGCAGAAGAATTCATGAAGTTAGTTTAAATACATTAAATTAGTAAATTAAAAACCCTTAGAGGTTTTGGCACGCAAAGACCAATGACAGCAGCTGTTTTGAATTAAGTAGGAATGATGATGTATTGTTTAATTTTGATTTCGAATTTAATGTGTAGGTTTCAAAATGGTTATCAGTGTTGAAATTTGAAAACAAACATAGATTTCCTGTGGCTCAGTTGGTAGAGCAAAGGTTGTGGGTTCATATAGCAGGGAAAGCAGGAACTTATAAAAAAAGTGTTCATTCATTCAAATGTAAGTCGCTTTGAATAAAAGTGTAAAAAAATGTCATGTAAAATCCATAAATCCATAAATGTCATGTAAATTTAAATGTAAATAACAAGAATTATGACATAATTTGAAAAATAATTCAAATCAAAATGTAAGAAAATGCAAAACTAAAACTGTCATTTAGTTTTGTTTTACAGACCCCAAATCTGTGCCATCTAGTGGTGAAAAGAAAAGATAACCTTTGGAAGTACAATAATTGTGATATGGCTTGTTTATTTTTTTTTATTCTGGCACAAAACAAAGCACAATGGAATAAAAAGTGTGCTCAAAAGTGTTTTGTTTTGACCTTGCTTTTGCTTTTTGGCGGGATTTTTAGGGAACACTTTTGATTTTTGTTGTAAAACTTAAAAACTGTTCATTCAAAATTTGTAGTATTTTTGCAGTTATTGTAATGTTATGAAAAATTATAGGTTAAAAAAATCTGGGGTTGAACTATAAAATGATATCAAGCACTGCCACAAAAAAACTTTTTAAAGGTAATTTATTGGAGCAAATTGTAATAAAAACCACTCAAAAAGGCATCAGACTTCTAAGGGTTAATATGGGTAGTGTGAGTCGAGTTTTTCATTCATAATGTTACTGTTCATCGACAGAATCTCATTCCACCCATTGATAGTTTCCGCTGCATTGCATCATGGGACTAGACCTGCGAGAAGCACTCTCCAGATTCTGGAATTAATCATAATTATTGCTTATCGATTCGTCTTCTGTGTTTTGCCTAATGATCAGTCTCCAAGCGGACCGTTTCTTGGCTCCAAAATGTAAAAGATTAGCAAATAGTGGAAATGACACAAAGTCTGAAAAATATGTTTAAGAGGCCTGTATTTTTTCCCACTCTTTTCACTGGAACACTCAAAAAAGAACCAGAAAGATACATAAACACAGATCGGTTGAGCTCGTTTCTATCCCAATCAAACAGGGCCACTTAGTAAACAAAGGAAGAAAAAAATCGGTTACAAAAAGATCAAGGTCTCTTCCTCAACAACCGTGTGTGTGCTCACTCCATAAACCAGAAGCCAATGTAAACAAAAGGAAGCCAAGTAATGTCTGGATTCGACCCAAGAATCTTCATTCACGACACTTTTGTTCACAACACACATACTGTACTGAGCAATGAAATAAAATGAATGGAAATCAAGACAAAATAAGCCCTTTACCGTCTATCCCTCTTGTTCTTCTCATCCTGACCTAGTTAGAGTGCTGCAGTATCATCTCCTCGCTCTCACATGCAAACAGATCTGGTCTCTGAAACTCCATTAAAGGACTCCATCCATAAACCAGTTGCATGTTAAATCCACAATCTCTCATACTTCACAGCCATTTCAACTATTCCTGGGTATAAATGCAGGCATCCATGAAGATAAGCGTATAAATTATGAATTAAATCTCAGCTGCAATATGGGACATGAATGTTTGCAGTAAAACAGCAATACACGTTGAGCATTTACTCTCATGGAATCAAATCATGTGTCCTGATGGATGTGTCCTGATGTTATTTAATGTCCTGAAGCTTTTGCCCAAAATTGGTCACAAACAACACTAATAAGCTACTAACAATTGAGAAAATTAATAAAACTCAAGTGCTAATATAAAGTTTCCTCCATTACTACAGCAAACTGTGTATTGGAAGTTGTCTTGTGCGATGACAGTATATTCTTTTTAGCTATAATGGAGTATGGGGTACCACAGGGCTCTATCCTTGGGTCCATTTTATTCGCTTTTTAAAAATGTTAAATAATTTTGAAGTCAGTAATGATCTGTATGCTCATGATCTCTGCCGCCACACCTCCCCTACGCCTCTATGTGCAGTCTATTTAGTGTTATGGAAAGTTTTGTAAGTTATGTACCACTCACTAAAGTAGGTTGTCCAGAAGAAAATTGTGCACATTTTGGGACACAATACTTCCTCCTCACATGTTGTTCTGTTGCCTAGTTACAAGATAGTCAATGTGTATTTTCCTGCTAATATTACACTTGGAAAATGTGATTTTTTGTTTTTTTAATGATGAAAAAAAAAGTCATTTAAATTTCAATCAAATTTATCCTAGATACGAAATATGTATATACATTTTACAAGTTGGACTTTCAATTGAAGCAGGAGATAATTATTAAAGGGAGATCACTGGAGGAGTTAGGGCTTGTAGGATTACAAATATAACATCTAACACAAATATATCTGTAAGCTATGCTTTTTCTACAGTATGCAACAGACAGACTACAGGTCTGTGACAGAGAGAGACTTATAAAACTGAGACTTCAACAAAAAAAAAGAACACTTCAACAAACAAGTTATCTCTTGTTTTCAAATGCAGCTGCACATGTACGTCATTTATAAGCATTAGAGATAATAATGCTACAGATGGAAAAATGTTTACAATGAAATTTTATTTATTTATTTTTTTATTGACATGAAATTTTGCATCGCAGTGAATCTATGAATATTAAGCCACTCTATTGGGTTCATATGTTTGGAAATCTGACTGAAGACACTAGCCGTGAGTAACACTGTGACATCATCAGAAATCAGGAATCACTATGTCTAAAATTTCCTCAGAATGAACCAAATAAAGCTATCCATGACTATAGAAATACTGTACAATGCTCAAAAACAGCATTGTCTCATTTCCACTCTGTAACTCTGAGCCACAGGAAGAAGCACAGCAGTCGTCATGGAGACAGTGATGAAGCTGTGCTGCAGTAAACACACGTCATTAGAGTCGCGTTAACACTCGTGCACACACACGTAGAGCTCCCGGCTACAGTGTGAGACGCTCACATGAACAAAGGCTCACAGCGTGTGTGAAAATCACTCATCACTTTGTTTTCTCGTTTCCGTCTGATCTTTTCTTCTCTCTCCGTGTGCTCTCTTAAAGGGACAGTACACCCAAAAACAAACATCAGCCCTGATTTTCACTTTTTACATGCACACAAATGTTTTTATGATTGCGGTACACTTGAAATTATAGCATTTTTACTGTCAATTTACATCAAGTTTTGGGGAAAATGGTGGCCATGCTTTCATTATTGGGAGAAAATTTGGATAAAACACCAGCTGTCAAAGAAAAGCATGACAGACACAGTCATGAATCAGCAAAAGAAGAACATGCATCAGTCTGTCGGTCACATGGGAATGGCCCGTAACACACCTGAGAGAAAGAGAGAGAGAGGAGGAGAGAGACAGAGCGGTCACTTGATGTTAACCAGGACACTGCGGGATACTGAAGGTCACAGTGAGAGAGAAGTGCACAGGTTTATGATGGCAGACTGTTCATGCAACAGCGCTCCACACGTGTGATTGGTGCATTCTGAGGGCAAGCATGCCTTCAAATGCATTCTGTGTGAACAGTGCATTCAAACAAGTGAACTTTAAAACTACATTCATTTACGTCACATGAGGATTCTCATATGCAAACAACAGCAGGGGTTGTTTGGACGCAGTTATGTCCAGAACTATTGCGCATGACAGTGACTGGTGTTTTTGTGCATGCGATGGACAAGTGAACATCCCTTCATCTTCATTTGCATCTAAAACAGTCTATATATAACACTTTAGACTCTGATTCAACCACATTCCCTCTGAAGTGACTTGAAAACACAGTGAGAGAGAGAGAGAGAGAGAGTGTGAGAGAAGGAGAGTGAGAAGCTCATGCATGCCTGCCTCCTTCCTGCTTTGTATTCTCTCTCGAACACTGCAGTGTTGCCATGTACGTTTGTCCTTGCGACACTCTATCACCCCCACAGACACTGTCTAACTTCAGCCCCCGCCCCCTTACTCTTTCTTTCTATCTATCTATCTATCTATCTACGTACATAATAGGTTTAATGAGTTTTGTAAGAAAAATTTTCAAGACATACACATGCAGCTGGCGCCCCTGGAAATGCAGTTAAAAGCACTAAATGTTCTGAAAATAGGACACTTAACCGAAATTTCAGTTTTATTTCAGCATCATCGTAAAGTGAATATTGCAAAATACTTAATACGCAGAATTATCTAGCCAATCAAACTATGCTTGTAAAGAGAAGAGCCACTCTCTTGCATTCGAAGATGAAATTAAGATGTAAAGCATTCAACATCTAGTCTCTTCATATGGGTTTTCATGTCATAAAGGTCTAAAAAAATTTCAAAAAATAATTTTAAATGATTTATTTGATCAAAATCTGATGTGTCTCTGACATGTATCTGGCATGCATTTTATCCAAAGCGACTTACATTTGAATGAATGAACACTTGTTTGTTAGTTGCTGTTCCTGGGATTTGAACCCACAACTTTTGCATTTTTTTTTCTTAACCTTGTTCTGTCCGGCCTAAACGCCACCACTGGGGGTGTAGGTGCTTCGTTTGAGGTGTTCGACCTTTGCATTGTTAGCGCAATTCTCTTCCAACTGAGCCACAGGAAACCTAATTGGCTCTGACTGGTCAGACAGCTGATCTATATTTTGATTGGTTAGATCCCATTTTTGTGCTGATTGGCTTGTGGAAATGGTTCCACTCCCTGATTGGTCAGACGGCTTTTCTCTAGACTGATTAGTTAGTGAATTAACTCTCTGACTGACCAGATATCTTACTCTGCTCTGAATGATCAAATGGATCTACTTTGCGCTGATTGGTCAAATGGCTCTACTCTGATTTGATAGGTCGAGGACTGCTACTCTGCACAGATTAGTCAGCTGGTTCTACATTAATCTTACTTGTCAAAGAGCTATAATCTTCTCTGATTGGTCAGGTTGCTCTACACAATTTGGTCATTTGGTCTACTTTAATTAATCGTGTAACTCTACTCTCTCATTGGTCAAATGCTTCTACTCTGCAACAATTAGTCACCTGGCTCTACTCTGATCTTACTGGTCAAATGGCTCTAATCTTCTCTGATTGGTCAGGTTGCTCTACACTTTGGTCATTTGGTCTACTTTGATTAATCGTGTGACTCTACTCTCCCACTGGTCAAATGGCTCTACTCTGCTCTGATTGGTCAGATGGCTATATAGCTCTCTGATTGGTCAAATGTTTCTACTCTCCAACAATTAGTCACCTGGCTCTACTCTGATCTTACTGGTCAAATGGCTCTAATCTTCTCTGATTGGTCAGGTTGCTCTACACTTTGGTCAGTTGGTCTACTCTGATTAATCGGGTGACTCTACTCTCTCATTGGTCAAATTGCTCTACTCTGCTCTGATTGGTCAGATGGCTCTATAGCTCTCTGACTGGTCAAATGTTTCAGCTCTCCAACAATTAGTCACCTGGCTCTACTCTGATCTTACTGGTCAAATGGCTCTAATCTTCTCTGATTGGTCAGGTTGCTCTACGCGATTTGGTCATTTGGTCTACTTTGATTAATCGGGTGACTCTACTCTCTCATTGGTCAAATGGCTCTACTCTGCTCTGATTGGTCAGATGGATAGTTGGCCACATCTGCCACATCATATGGCTTTACACTTTGGTGGGTATACTCTGCTCTTATTGGTCCTAAAAAGCATCTCAAATGATTATCATGTTATAATGTATTTATTACTGAGCACACAATTCAATCCAAAGGTATTTGTGAAACATTTTTTGTGAGGGTACTGAAGAGTTTCATGAAGAGAAACATTTGATGTTTTGATGTAAAAAAATAGGATTTCTTTCAAAGAGAACTTTGAAGTGCTGTAGAAACGTATATATATTTATAAAATAGATGCCTTCCTGGTAGAAATGCACATAGAGTATAAATACTACATTAAATGATTAATAGCATACTCTACACGATACCCTTTCACACTGACATTAACATCATCACAAATAAAATACTTTGCATTTATAAATCCTTAAACAATATAATATTAAGTTTTAAATCCATTTTGTTCCCCAACTCATTGTAATATTTAACTGTTTCAATAGCCTAATCTAAGATACTTTCCTCTGGGGAAAATATTTCACTGTCATTTCCTTATGCACATGCCTGATAAAAAGCAAAATGAAATATTAAATAAGCTCTACACACAGATCACGCACTGAACAGAGAATCGGAGTTATGGATTGAGCATGCGGGCTTCGCTGGAGCCTATCGTAGCTATCCTGATAGAGCAGATGGCTACACACAAAAAGATCTGCCATACCATCAGGAACATACCACCTCACATACTGTAAAGAGCTTAAAATAACCGTCACGAACGAATGCGTAGGAGAAGTTGTCTATGGATTTTCTCACTTAGAGGTCCACAAAACTGATCTCATAAGAGAGCTAATTAGAACTCTGCTCCCTTTGGTTATCCTCACATGTAAACATTGCTAGAAACCCTCCTGTCTGAGGTTATACACTATTCTCCGGAGTATTGGGAAAATAACAAGAGGATGTGTGTGTTGTCCTTGTCCCGTTTCCCAGAAACTGACACTTTGGGAGAGTTTGAGTACAGTGCAGACGTGTACAAGCAAAGCAGAAATGTCCAAAGGGTAAAAAGGTCCATGTGAGTAAAATGCTGAATAATCAAATGGACGGCCAGATTAAAAAAAAATCTGAAGAAAATAACTAGTTTGAAAATATTGATAAAAATATTTAGTTTGAAGGCTAAAAGAACATGTGCTACCGTTTTTTGTTTTTGTTTTTTTTTTAAACGCAACAGAAAACTAATGTCTTTTTTTAAGAAAATCTGTTTTGTTGGTTTGACAAAGAAGAACATTTTTAAATGATTTCATAGCAAGCAGTGACATTTTCCAGAAAAGTACTGTTAAATACTGTAAAAAAATCAGTGTCACGATCTGTCAATGGCAAGGAAAACTTGAAAAGAACTTAAGATAACTAATATTAAATACTCTTAGCTGAAACGTAAACCAAAAAACTAAAAGCGACCACAGAAACCTGATACTAACCTTTCATGAAAAAAGACTCCTAAATAATGAAATTAACATTTTTGCGATGGGTGAGAGAATTCTGTCAAAGCCATGTGTTTTTAATTTCCCAATTTTATTGTAAAATTACTTTCATATGAAACTAGACAGCTAAAGTTTGCACGCAAACTTTGATGTTGACCTGTACTAGTGCCTTTAAACTGTTTTCAAAATGTTCCCAATGTCAAAATGAGTAAAATAAAACAGTCCACAACTCTGTATGATTTTCCAATGTGAAGATATGCCAGATTGGTTGCTAAGGTAAACAGTCTGGTTGCTACAGAGGGTCAGTGACAATATAATATTCCCTTTGTGACTCTTTATATAAATATTAATTATTTTCCAAAGCCGAGATAGAGTTCTAAGAATATTGTTGCTAGGGTTAACATTCTGGTTGCTAGGGAGTGGTCTGTGATACCAAATTTTACTATTTCTCGATTATATTTCTTTGTTGCCTTTTTCCATTAACTTTCATTGGCCATTATAAGTCAAAGGGAAATATTTAACCCCTTCTTTTCAAATACTTTTGCAATATCACGGAATTCCTCATGGCCCAACTGCCAGTTTCACTTAAAGGAGCTTTGAGCAAGAAGCTTTCACCAAATTCAAAAAGGCCAACCCAATTACCCAGTCAGTGGCGGACTTCAGGATTTGTACCCTACACATCACAAGCATAAATGTAGCGCAAGATCGTTCGGCGCCGGTCTATAGTTTTAAAATATTTTTAAGTGTTGGTTTTTTACATTGATGATCAACCATGTTGCAAACACAGTATTATGCTGTTAACAAGAACAAGAAAATAACATTTTTACCCGAACTTACAAATCCAGTTTAATTAATTTATACAGATGTTTTCTGATTTTACATTTGACGCATATATTTATTATTACTATATTATTATTATTACAATGTAACAACATTATTCATGCTGACCATAGAACAGCACTTGTAAACAGACGGAACTATCACAGCACTAAATACGCCGGACACATGCACACTACCATCTCAGTGAAAGGGCTATGCTGTGCCTCTGCTATGTTGGGTGCTGCGCACGCCCCGCTTGCGCTATACTTACACTTGCGGTGTGAAACCGGCGTAAAACCGGCGCTACTCTGTAGTTGATTGTCGTAATGTGGGATACCAAGGGTCAAAGGACTGGACTGGGGTCGAGGGAAGGAGGAATTTCAGGTGTTTTATTGTGCTACCAGTGGTTAAAGTGGGATAAACCAAAACAACAATCAAACATAACTATTTACAAAACAAAACACTGTTGCTAAATAAAAAAAGGAAAGTTATGCTCAGCAGCAAAAACCTCTCTACTAAACTGGGTCGGCTAAAGCTTGCTATAGGGTTTGCAGAGGTGGATCCAGCAACAAAATGAGGAAGGAGTCTATAAGTTCTAAGCAGAGCTAAGAGTCACCAAGTTCCATCCATGTATAAGGTGACCTCACACTTTTCAAGGGAGTCAAAACCAGTCTGTTGTCTCCCACTCTCTCCTCCTGACTGAATGAACTTGAGCTCTTTTATTGGAGAGCTCAAAATGGGTCAAACCATCAGCAGGTAAGTATGTTAACCTTTTACACCCAAGAAAACAACGTCCATCCTTTAACCAAAAATGAAATTCAAATTTATACAATATCTTTTGCATCAACATTGGCAAACAACAATTCACAATCATTTAAACTAGATTATATTAATGTCTCTTTCACCAAAAATTTTAAGAACTCCCCCGTTGGAATGGGAAAATGGAAGGTTCTGGTCATGGGACCTTGAGTCACTTGATAACCTCATTTAAATCAGCTTGTACCACTTAACATTAATTAGTATTTTAAAAATTGTGATGAGTAGACCCTGCTCCATCACATTGATGACCAAGGATTTCGCACAATGTTACAGGTGCCTGTGAAAAAAAATAATTCGAAGAATCATATCATGGATTCAACTGTTCAGGTTGGTGGTGGTGGTGTAAAGGTGTGGGAGATATTCATCTCAGACTGGGTTCTTGAACATAACGTTGAGTTCACTCAATGACTCAAATGGCCTCCACATTCACCAGATCTCAATCCAACAGAGTACCTTTTGGATGTGGAGATTCACATTATGGATGTCCAACAAATCAACAACAACTACCTGATGTCATCAATATGAAGCAAACACTCTGAGGAATGTTTCCAATACCTTGTTGAATCTAAGACAAAAAAGGATTAAATTGATTCTGAAGGCGATCAACCAAGTACTGGCAAGGTGTACATAATAAAGAGGCCACTGAGTGCATCTATATTCCGCATTTTTTTGTGCTTAAAATAAAGATGAAACTTTTTACTAATTATTTTAAACATTTGCAACTGAGTTTTTCGAATAGTTGTAAAATAATAGAACACACGTTTTACATTCAACTCAAACAAGGAAAAGGAAAATAATGCAAAGAAAATCACCGTTGACAAATAAACATATAGAGTTATTATGTCAAAATGAAGAGATGTAAGGATTCTTAGCAAGAAACCTTACGTTATATAAACATTTTACATTTATGTAT